CTCAAAGTTCCCCAGTAGTTGCAATAGCACGTTTCATTGAGGGTCGAAAGAGAAAAGATGATAATTGTGTTCTGCAGTAAACAAAACTTCTGAGATTCATTTTGCCATGATGGAATGATATATTTTGATGGGAGATTTGTTCAAGTTGCATGTATAATCATATTGTTCTTTTCCAATGAAATATAATTGCCTATCACTGTTACGTGTATAAGAGATTCGCTTACATCCATATAATGTATGTGCCATTTTCTTGTGAAAAAAGCTTGCCTGATATTTCATATATATATATGTGTGTTTATTTTTAAGTTTTAAAGTCAAATTTTATGATATATTTGTAAACATGATCTGACTCCTTGGAAAGCAGTCAATGTGTTTACTTTTTGTCTAAACTGGATGCTGAAAAACTATTTTGATGCTGTATTTGTTACCAGGGTATGGTAGTTCACTCACTTTTGCTGTTCCTATTTAGCAGTTTTGGTTAGACCACAAGGAGAAAATGGTGAACTACTAAGTCCATTCATTTTAAGAATCTATTCAGTTTTGAATTAGAAAGGAAAGATTTACATGTTTGTTCCATTCATTTTATTAATCGTTTCAAATTGAAAGGGAAGAGAATTTATTATTTAGAGAGTTCAATACTTTAAAAATTAGCTTGTGGTAGTTTGTGGTAATGTTTTGACCGATTATATGATTACAGGTAACTTATTTTGACAATTACTGACAATTGTGAAATCTTGTTGTTCGTTGCCGTTGTATTCATTAGATTAGTTTGTTTGTATTCATTAGATTAGTTTGTTTTTTGTTTATTCATTATTAACTTCACATAAAACTATAGCTGTCCTTAGAAATGAGGTACATCGTTCTTTATTTAAACCTAGAGGTTTTTAAAATCTTTTCATTTTTATGAAAGATTGTATTATATATAATCATATTTATTGCTCTGATCCCGTAAAGTAATGATTTTTTGCAACTTTTTTAATCATTTTGATAACATCCATGTTATGTGTATGTACTCTTTTTTAATGTTGTCTTATTGTTATATTTTTATTCTTTAAATCATATGTTTAAAATCAAAATATATTATTTATCTGTAAACATGATTAATTTCTTTGACAGTAGTATCTGTGTTTACTATTTTTATCTAAACTTGTCAAGAAACATAAATTTGTATTAATATACTTGATACTTGGCTGTCAAATATTAAAATTTTAACTGCCATTCATAATGCTTGAATGGTCATATGACAGATATTTTATAAATGTTACAAACTTTGCTAAATAATCATGGTTACTTTCAGTTGGGAAAGTCACTTGTAAATTAATATTAGTCATGAACAGTCAGTTGAAGGTATTTTTTAAAGATATTTTCTTACATTAAATTCAATTCTATTCAGATATTTTGCATTCAGACAATCCAGGACTGTTCAATATTCGTTTTCAGTTAATTTAGTTTATTGTTGAGTGATAACTTGAAGTCAATTAAAAACAATACTTGAATGGTCTAAAAATAGACTCAACAGATGTTAATTGGCTGTAAGCGAATGGTCTGAATAGTTTGGAACATACCCAAATGGATAAGTCTGAAAATTGATTGAAGGACTGAACATGACTTCTCTAAGACCTGTTCAACTAAAATTGTCCATATTTTAGTTCAAAATCGATTAACTAGTTACTACTTGTATTGAATTTTTCTAAGCCCTGTCACCAGTTTTTGAGAAGGGTATATATGCCATTTATTTTAAATAAATATAAATTATATAAATTGTCACAATATTATAATATGTAATCAATTGTATTCGTGTTTTTTTCACATTGTATTTAGTTGTGATAATTGGAGTTTACTACTATACATAATTTACAATATTGTTGGCTTGCTTGCTAAATTTTACAATCAATTTATTAGTTTCAATAAATTATCAATCATGTTAGTATCCTGAATTTTTTATTTTTATTCCTGATTGATGACATTATTTGACATACGTGTTTACATATACAGCTTGAAATTCTAGTGACTGTAATTAAAACAAAAAGATCACTTTCGAATTATTTCCATCACCGGAAAAGTTCGTCAATTATGCGCGCCTTTATGACGTCATTTCCCAGATAGAGGGGATCGCCTGTATCCCTGCACTATTAAAGTTCATCAAGCGTCTTCGTGATCGTCATTATACAGGATTAACTAGAAATAATGTTTGTTCCGTAATCTGTGTATAAAATACGTAGGCTCAGTTAACTCAACCTTTCAAATTTCCAATTTTTGCCTTCCAAGGCATACATTTACATGCACAGTCATTTCTGTGTAAATCTTGTAATGCACTTGTAAACATATAAAATGGTAAACAAATCTGCAAGATAGCAGCACATGTTCCTACAGTTTCTAAATTTCAGTGCAATTTTACTATAAACATTATGGTATTTTTGTTTGTGGTAAAAACAAAAGCTGCAGTGTTTGCAGTAAGGTTGTATACGTTATATCAAGGCTTCCAGTTAACTAATTGTATGCAGGCAAAACTGTAGATCTGCAGCAAATATTTCAGTTCTGCAAGGTTACATATCGCTAAAACCTAGTTTCTAGAATCGGAATACCGGTGTCGCTCACCTGCATCTACATCAATGGCCACTTTTTAGTAAAAATCATCATTAAAAGGCAATAACTCCAATAACGAGTCGACTGAAGATTTCGGTCATTTGGGTTATTTGTGGATCATGTTTTGCTGATCATTTGTGCTATTTAAAGTTTCTATATATACATCTATTTTAGTTTTCAACACGACGGGTGACACAAGTGGAGCAGGATCTGCTTACTTTTCGGGGCACCTGAGATCACCACCAGTTTTTGGTGGGGTTTGTTTTGCTCAGTCTTTAGTTTTCTATGTTGTGTTTTGTGTACTGTTATTTGTCTGTTGGTATTTTCCTTTTTCATTTATGGCATTGTCAGTTTATTTTCGACTTATGAGTTCGAATTTCCCCATTGGTATCTTTCGTCTCTCTTTTCAAGATATTAGGCAAAAATGGGAAAAAATGTGAAAAATTGTCATTAACTTGCAATAACTTTAATAAGGCGTCGACAAACGATTTTGGTAATGAGACTTATTTGAAGATCTTGTCTTGATGATCATTTTAACTATTTAAAGTGCCTGGCTATCTATTACTATTTTCGAGATAATAGACAAACAATTTTAAAAACTGGTAAAATTGGCAAAGCTCCTAAATGAACAATAGGTAGAGCTCAACATTCTTCTGTCAGATATTCTCTATTTATAGTTGTTTTCAAAATAATAGGAAAAACTTACATTTTACCTCTATGTTCTATTTAAGACATGTCGGCCATCTTGGTTTGCAGGCGGGGTCATCGGACACATTTTTGTAAACTAAAAACCCCAGTGATGATTTTGGCCAAGTTTGGTTAAATTTGGCCTAGTAGTTTCAGAGACGATTTTTGTAAAAGTTAACAGACTACTCCGGAAGGCGGATGCCAAGTGATGAGAATAGTGTTCAATAATATTTTAACGCAAACATTCATTCAGAGTTCAAGAAGAGACGAGAATATGGGTGCCTACTACAATATGATGAAATGTCATTGAATTGGGAAAGAAAGGTAATTTTTATTCAAAGATTCTATCAATTTGTTTCTAAAATGTTCCAATGATTTTGGGAATATGAATGCAGGCAGCCTTTCAAAATGCACACGTAGTCTGTTTATCAGCTGGCATTGAAAAAAAAGAGTAAAAACCGTTCTGAATAAATGAACTAAGAGACATGAAGTGATATGCATCACACAAAGTTTATAATGAAACCAATGTGTTTGGTCAGGATGTGATTTGGAAATACTCGATTGTTCCAGCTGCAAATAATGACGGTGATATGGAAATGCTGATGTCCGTCCGTATGTAAAAAATTACAAGCTTTTTTAAGAATATCATGGACGGGTTTAAAAAAAGGTCGCCAATCTTGTATATACGAGGATGAGGAAGGTTTTCCTAAATGTCCTCAGTCACGACTTGTTCATGTCCCTTACATGAAATAAGGTTAAAATAGCAATGCCTAGGCAGGAGAGAAAACAATGGAAGAATCTGATGCATGACTGGACCTATATTGTACCAACAAATTGTTATAGAGAGACTGCAGAATTACCATATAATTGTTGGTTATAAATAAATAAATAAATGTCTTGAGCAATGACGATTCTTTGAAATTTCGTTGATTATATATTTATATATATATATAGTTATTGTTGGTAAGTGTAGTGCTCATAAAATTACAGAATTGCCTGTGGATGTTTCATAACCGAGGGTACAAGTTATAAGCCTGGTATCTTTGATGAGTTTTTACAACTGGGTCGATGCCACTGCTGGTGGACGTACATAATAGTTCAACTACTGTATCAGTCCTCTGTCAACACTGAAGTTGTGAGTTTGAACCCCGCATGTGCATTCGACTCCAATCTTAATTTTATTAGGACAGTCAGTTATCCTGCCCAAGGTCGGTGGTTCTCTCCAGGCACTCTGGTGACCTTCACAAAGAAAAACAGACCACCAAGAAATAGCCATTGTGTTGAAAGTGCAGTTAAACACAAAACATCAATAATTTAATCAATCAATATTTAAATGTTTGATTGTGCATGGCAGGTGTACCTATTTGGAGTTCATGTGATTGCATGAGGTGTTTTTCATTGTCGGTATATACAAAAGAAACTCACAATAGATACAAGGATTAAAATTTTGTATGCCAGACATGTGTCTAGAAGTATAAAAAAAAGAAATGAATGAAGAAATCTGACAAAATGCAGCCAATGGTAAAAAGCAGGGTACATCCATTTCATGTTCTTGACTTAGACAAACATGTAAATATAATGCTGCACATTAAACACCAACTTACTGATCAATTATTAAGAACATGAATATGAATGAAACGTATATTACTTGATACTTAGCAACCATTCAGCTATCAATTAATAATTTAACCGTATTATATTATTTTTCATTCAAATAAATTAGAACACCCAATTATACAATTTTATTAATTAGCCAATAGAACAAATAAACAGAACAAAATATATACTGTGATCACATACAAAAAAAAATCTTTTTAACATTAAGCAATTTTAGGAATATGGCTTTTAAACTACAAAACAGATATCATTTTTACATATTCTATATTAATACATTGTTTATTATATAAATTATATTCAAAATCAAGCAGGAGAGCAAGGATAACGCAAATTTTTCTCCTGTTTTTCAGCAAACTTAAAATAAAGTTTATCTTTTTCAACAATATATATATTTTGTAATTATCTTGCAATTTAAAGTAAATTCAAAATATTTCTTTCTTTCACTCCACTGGCTTTGTTTCTCAAAGAAAATGCAATTACATGGATACAGACTGCAGACTGTAAAGTTGACAACAAAATTATGTGAGGTTAATAGTAATCTAAACACTACTTTTGGCTTACTGTTACAGAGTACACCAAGATGATATTGGCAAAGTTACCAAACTACACAGTGTACTGTAAATTCAGAAATTTTAGCATGCATTTATTATTGTAATGTTGAACAATTATTTACAAAAACGTGAGATTAATAATTGTGATTTCTAGAAATGTTGCATACACACATTGCTATCAAAATTGAAATGTAAGTTTATATTTTGGCAAAACTAATCCTTTTGCAATTTTCACAATAATAAAAACCTTGCAAAATATCTGAGTTTACAGTATCTGTGCAAATCAATTTGTATTGTAATATGGTTGATTACCATATAACTAATCAATTTGTACTGATTGCTGGCCTTGAGTTATAAAAGTAAATACGTTTCTTAAGGTGAAAAGTCACATTGGGTTTCAAAGGTATAATTAATCTTATTGAAACAAAAAATTTAAAGCTACTCATACATCTATTGAATAATATTGTAAACAAAAGTTTAATGAAAATCTGTATATGCAAGTTTTAACATTCACAAACAAAACTGAACAATACAAATTATTCTTTTCTTAAAATGGCACAGTCATTATCTTGTAAAATGTAAGTTCATGAAATTGCACAACCTTTGCTTTCCTAAAATTAACAAATGTAAGATACAACAAATATAATGGCACTGTCTCACTAGGTCTTAGAAGATATGGCACAAGCTACCCTGTAAATGAAGCTTACAAATTACTGGTTCATTAAGAGGGTATCAACAAGAATATTATAGAAACAAACAACTCAAAAGTCATCCTTACAAAATGAATGAAAAATAATTGTTATCTCTTCAAAAGAGTTAGCACAATAAATATGCTATATATGTGAAACTGTACAAGACTGAAAGGCCTGATCTTAGAAACAGGCAACATATTACCTTCTAATTCAAATTCATATTTTTTTTCTATTATTTAAAATAACCTTTCAACACAGGTTCTACAGTGATCTCTACTCCTTCAACTTTCATTTGATACCTCAATTACCAACATATTCTAATTATTTACAGCTATACGTAGCAACTATTTTGCTTAAAACATGTACTTTATTTCTGACTGCGCCCAAACTGATGTTTCTTTACCTACAGGCTAATGTATGTATAATTTATGATACTAAAATCAATTATCCACAATAAATACACTTTTTCGGCAATAGACAAAAATTGATGAACAAGAAAAAGATTGAATCCTATGTATTCCTAGCTATAACAATCAGCAATATGGCTTAAATACCTAAACTAGATTTTAAAAAAGCTTTTAAATTCTTTACTAAAAGATAAATGTATGACCATTGTAAGTATTTAAATATAATGTAAGGCCATCCAAAGTAATCTCTGTTTCCCTAATAGATCTTTAATTTTGAATTGATGTAAGAACTTTTTATTTGAAAAATGTTATGCTGAAGCAATAAGTTTATTCTTATGACATTGCATCACATGAAAAGCCGTCATTATTTATTCACAGAAAAAGATTCCTAGCCTATATCTTATTCATTTACTTTCAAACTTCGGTAGACTTGCAATTAAATCAAATAGAAATTAACAAGAAGATGCAAGCATCATCATGCTAAGTCCTTCCCTTTCTTCTTATTCAAAGTATCAGAAGCAGGAGGAAGGCATCTGACAGATGCGAAAAGTGCTCACACAATACAACTCATCACTGCAAAGCTGCTCACCTAATATGAAGTTCTTCTGTACAGTAATTCTAGAGAAAAGTTATGACGAAACTATTTGTTGAAAAAAACAAATGGAAGAACAAACATATGGACAATGTGATTCTTAGTAAACAAACAAAAAGTCTAAGGACATTTAAGTGTTAGAACACCAATTCACCACTCCAATTTAGAACATATGTTAAAATAGCCCTACTCCGACAAAAAATAGTGCTTTTGATGTCAATGTTTACTTTTGCAGAAATGAAACTTTTGGTGGACGAGAAATATATTTAGACCAATTCGAGCCAAAATTTATTTGTCCATGATTTTCCATTAAACATTGGGGATAAATGCCCGCCATAGTAAACTTATGTGAGATTTCCAGAAAACTAAGGGTTATTTTTAGAAGCAGTTGACTTCCAAACAGTACTGTTTCACTACAAGACTTTATTGACAGAAAATTGGCATAAAGAAAGATGATGCATGTACAATTCAGGATATGCCTGGTTTCTATGAAATTAACTTAAGGCAAACTATTTAGATAGCTGTGAAAATTGAAAAAAAAGGTCACAAAAATTATAGAAAAAAGTCACAGTTAATTTATTTCTTATCATTTTAATGTGAAATAAAAAAAAAAATTGTTGAAATAATATCTTTTAATGAACAAAAATATTGTACATGTTGTATAGTGCAGGAAATTGTTTTTTGCATAATTAAAGGAATAATGATAACATTTTAATCATACAAAGGATAAATTTATAGTCACCTGATGAAGCCAGATTGTTTACTTAACAATAAGTTGAACATCATTTTTTGTTAACAAAGTTGTATAATGTTTAACTATTCAAGAAAAATACAAAAAGACTTTTAAAAATTAGTCTGTTGCCTATGAAAGAAAAATTAGCTTCAAATTTAACTGCAACTTATTGTCAGGTGTCTTTTATCTGTGCCTTTTGTTCTGTGACTTTTTGTCATCGTACTTTCTGTGCTACTTTCTTCCAATATACATGTAGCCTCACTCCTAGAGTGGGAGAATAAATATCAATGTTTGTTGATGCAGCACTTTTCTTGTACACCATAATTATTTCCACAAACGAAAACAAAAGGGAAAATTCTTGTTCTGATTGTCTTGAAAATCTTTCTCCAGCACAGAGAAACATTTTTTTACAAATGGTCATACATTCAAATTTACAATTTGCTCCAAAAATATACATATATTGAAAAAGCAACAAATGTCTATCTATGCATTTTTATAAATATATTCATTTTGATGAATCAAGAATAGAATTCTCAAATTCTACCAAGATTTTAACAATTCCTTAGGTTCATACTTTTATTGTATGTGTGTAAAATATAAGATATTATGTGATGCCAAGATAATAAAAGCATCTTTCAGAGGTAACACAATGTTTAAGATTCTTTTTAATTCTATTGGTCTAGGACCACTTATTTTGACTTTTTATAAGCCTTTTTAGGAATACTCAGTTGCCATTAGGTTACAAACAGTTTCTTTTGAGAGGTGGTATATTCAAATTTGTTGTGCATCTATTAAATTATTTTACATTTTCTAATTTGCTCCAAAACCATCAAAAATATTGACATTAATAACGTGAAAATTTTAATGCAATTTGACCATATGTGTTGACAATTCCATTTTTTAATGGACAATGTTAAAGAATTTGTGATAGATTAACAATCTCAGCATTAGAACAGGGTTAACTTTATTGTATTTGAATACTTTTGTTGCCAATAGTGAATTAACAGTCCACATATCACCAAAAACACTCAATTAGTGACACAGAAATCACAGATTGGCATGGGTTATTTTTTCCAATACAACAGTTATTCCTTACATAAATAATTTGTTTATTTGCATTTATATGTTAAACACCAATTCCACATACTTTTGAAAAAGTTAACAATATAATAAACAAGTGTACTAAATTTCAAGTAAATGTGACCACAATTTTGTGGGAATCTACCTTAACTTAATTTCTGACATAAAACGGGATGGACAGAAAAGAAGACAAGCTGGAAAGATCGTGTTCTATTAAAAAAAATATTTTAAAAAAAATACTGCAATTTCAGAAATCAATGTGTACATTTAATGATTTATTATTGCAATTTTTTTAAATGGCAAAAACAGCAATATTATTGCGATTTCAGAAAAAGCTGCATACAGATATTTGCATCAAATATCAGAAAGTAAGTTCTTATTATTGCGATTTTCATCCAACTGCATTATTCCCATTAATGAAAACCTCTCAATAATTTCTGAATTTGCAGTACTTACAGTTAAAAGTTAGCTCTAATCATTTTTTATATCATGTGACATTTAATTTGCATAATAAAATGCATTAAAATAACACATCTTTTATTTTTTTATTTATAGTTGACATGAGGGCAGTCAAGTGTTCCTGCTCCATTTTTCTTGACCCTTACAGCCATAAATGACCCATGACCCATGTCCAAATAAGAAACTGACCTTCCTAAGCCTGCCACGTTCCTTTAAATGGAATAGTCCTTAGCATCATGGAAGTCCTTCATAGTATCAATAATAAAAAAATAAATAAGGAGATGTGGTATACATATGATTGATAATGATTCAACTATCCAACAAAAGACCAATGGAAAAGATTTTAAATGTCCCATTTCTTGAAGCAAGATTTAGGCCATACATATTTTGATATTGTAACATACTTTTACTTTATCATTTGATTTCAATGATATGGAAAAGGATTGATATTGCATATCAGTTCACCACACAACATCCCTACATACAACTGAATAACTAAGGGCAAGGGAAAATTACAGTTCTTTATCTCAAATTACAGAGTTCTTACAGAATTTTGGATTATTGGACATTTTGACTGTTACTGTTAGTTTCTGAGTCCAAAATTCATTTTCATCAGTCCAATCCTATGATTCTTTTGAAAACTTCACTCACTTTTGTCAGACATTTGGACTGACAATGAAGCAACAGACATTTTCAAATTTTTATCATTCAAATGATCCAGACCGACAATTTTTAAGAAATGAGTCATTTATGAAAAAATTCATTTCAATATTTTATAGGTACATTTAAATTTGAATGTCATAATATTGTCTGAAACAGAATATTCTTTCTGTCATAATAATTTATCTATAACAAACAAAATTTAGCTGTAACCATGATAACATGAAATTCCATTATTATAAAACAATTAACTTTAACAAAGAGTAAACATATTTACTCCTGTCAAAAATTTCAAATCATGTTTTACCAGACGATACACATAGGATTTCATTCATGATTTGGGATGATTCTACATGAGATTTAATCTACATTATTTCATGTTTTTCATTGACCTAAAATGTACATATATATCAAAATTAGGATAGGAACAGTGAATTTATTTATAAAACATGAAAACAAAATCCTTCACTAAATTATGTCTAATTCTAGACATTTGTTTACTGAAGAACACATTTTTCCTCTTTCCTCTTACTATGCTCATTTAAACGTGCTCTGAAAGCTGCTGGGGATTCTTCTGCACTTCCAGCAAACGCCTGGGGGAAACTTTGCATTGTGGGAGAAGTTGGGCTTCCTAATTGATGTGGATAAACTAATGGGTCTCCTCCATAAGATGAAATGCTAGAGATACTTGAAGCAGCAATGGTTTGATCCACTGGAGGTAATGTCTCTCTGTCAGTGTACATAATCAGGTATTCAGGATAACACTGATTTCTGTCGAAGACAACAAAGATTTGAGGATCCTGATCTTTATCCACACAGGAATCATATAACTTATGTACCTGTCCAGGAATTTCTGGAGGTCGACGGAGGGAGGGATTACCTGCTGTAAACTGCCCAACCAAGACTTTGGCTCTAAACATGAAACGGATGTCTGTAGGTAGGTCTGCCTTTGTGTAACTATGGCTCATTTTAGCACGAACAGCAAAGTAGGAACCTTCCCCATAAAGAGTAGCATTGCGACCACTGGTTCTGAAGTCAAAATTATTGGTACAAATACCACGGCATGTATCCAAGGAATCTGTGCCATGGAATAAATCTCTCTCATCAATAATTTGACCACGACCATCTTGTTCAGCATCAGCTAACATGAGCTTCTTCTTTCTGAGGTATAAACAAAATATATTAGTTGTTAAATTCCCATATACATGTTATTGAAATGGCATAGTTAGAATTTAATACTGTGTATATTGACTTTTTTGTGTAGGGTTTGCTGTTTGGTCGTATGAAGGGCAGTCACATCTTCAAGGTTTTATTGCTCACATTAAACAGCCAAATGTTCAATGCTATTGGACAGTGAAATGTTTGAATAGGGTAAATATTCCTGTTAAATCCGTACTGCAACCATAGTGAAAATTAAGCACACAAGAAACATTCTCAATATACAGTATATCTTTTTCCCTACTTCCAGTAGATAATTTTAATAAAAGAATGTTATCCCCTACTGTCCTAAAGATTGTCCTACTGTAAAAGTTTTGTGAAAATGATATTATGTTTTTCTGTCTTGGAAGCTCAGTCACTTAAAACTTGTAAAATTGGACCCTTGAAAAAAAAATTGAAACATCTCTGATAATAGAGAGGAAAATGCACAATATCATATCAGTTCACAGATGACAAAGACAAAGCTACCAGTAGAATAAAATAATAATAGTGCATGTAAGAACCCTCTCAGCTACTTAAAGCTAGATAAAATAAATGGAGAATGTGTCCATGGGAAACAGATGATGCCCCCGCTTGCATATAACGTTATATAGGGGCATTACTCAAATTAATCAAAGTGATGCAACCCAAATTCTCACTTCATATGTGTTTTATGGTAATAAGAGTTGTGGCAAGTTTCATAACATTTGGTTGAGGCAAACTAAAGTTAGAGAACAGAAACTCAACAGAATCATCAGAAATGAATATTGAAACCAGTCATGATGACTGGGTGCAGAGTTTTTTTTTGATGAAGATTCTCAAAATTGTTAACTGCTGCCAGAAGACAATAGGTAATGTGAGATAAAGTGAGGGGGGCATAAAAAGGGGGAGTGAAGGACACATGAACTAATAAACAGACTCCTCTCCCCCTTACTAAATACTACCCACTTTAGAAAACTGGTATAATAACAATATCTTATGTTTAAGCAAAGTCTATAAAGATAAACTCACATGTCATATTCACTCCAAAGTTTTCTATTCTGAATTCTATAAATAAACTTAATCCCAAATCGGGTTGGGTTCATGGAATCCTGCAGTGACTTTAATACATCTATGAACTCCTTCCCTGTTGTGTCAAGTTCTACCAGTTCAAAATCGTGTGCACAGTCCCAATGGTAGAAATGCATTGGTTTGGCTGTACTCATAGCAACTGGGAACTGTATGCTATCTGGACTACATAAAGAAAGAAAATATATAATTACAAAAATATTCTCAATTATCCTTTTTTTGAGGTTTTAACAACCAAAAAAAAAAAAATCCTTGCCCGCTATTGATGCTGTCAGTGCGAAGTGTAATTTTGACTGCCAAAAGCTAAGTCCATTTAACAGAGAGAAAAAAACAAGAGAAAAAAAGCAATTTTGTTTGGATTACACGTGTATAATAACTTAAAACATTCACTGTTTGCTGTGATACAGGAGTTTATATATTTAAGCAGGTTTTTATTCTATGCAATATTTGGTTTGACAGATATATATACTTGTACATCAAAAAATTAAAAAAGTAAAACAATTCAACTCTTAACTTACTATTTCTTCTGTTGCACATCATCTTTCGAAACAAAAAGTGGGCGTCTGATGATTTTTCGTTCTTTATCTGTATCAAGGTTAATCTGGGTCATCTTCTGGAAATCTATCCTGTACATGAAGTTGTAATTCTCCCTTGTATACAAATAAGTCTTCTGTTTTGTCTGATACTTCCTCTCAAGGGTGAACAGAAAAACATCCTAGGAAAAATAAAGGAAAAAAATTGACCTGAACCAGAATCGCACAGTTCCTATTGTATATTACACAACATTATAGCATGTATTGCATTTTTAAAGACTTTGAACCATAAAGTTTGTAAAGGGTTCAGAGGGAACCCTGTGACTCACCTTCGATTTCTGCTGTCAGTGTGAAAGTGTAATGTCGACGGCCAACAGTTAAGACCAATTATCAGTAAAATACCTGACAATATTGAAAAACAAAGAATTCCAAAAAAAAAATTCAAATGATATATCCAGATTTTTTTTATAACAGAGGCCAACTTTAGCAAGGGTGTAACTGGCAGACATAAGAATTTCAGAGATGACAATATTACTATACCCCAGTAAACCCTTAATCTTGGGTCAACTAATTTTGTGAATAACAAACAAAATGAAATAAATGGGGAATGTGTCCTTGGGACATAGATGATGCCCCTGCTTGCATATAACGTTATAAAGGGATATATATAACTCAAGAATTATAAAAGTGACGTTACCCAAATTTGTACTTGATTTGAGATTTGTGGTAATATAGCATTGTGCATAAGTTTCATAACATTTGGTTGAGGCAAACTAAAGTTAGAATTCGGAAACGAAAAATTCAGCAATTTTTCTATTTGTAAAGGGGCATAACTCTAGAACGGTAAAAGTGACGCCACAAAAATTCAAATTGATCTGTGTTTTGTGTTAATAAGCATTGTGTATAAGTTTCATAACATTTGGTTGAGGCAAACTAAAGTTAGAGAACGGAAACAAAAATTCAGCAATTTTTCCATTTGTAAAGGGGCATAACTCTAGAACGGTAAAAGTGACGCCACATAAATTCAAACTTGATCTGTGTTTTGTGGTAATAAGCATTGTGTATAAGTTTCATAACATTTGGTTGAGGCAAAATAAAGAAAGAGAAGGGAAACGAAAAATTCTGCAATTTTTCCATTTGTAAAGAGGCATAACTCTAGAACGGTAAAAGTGATGCCACCAAAATTCGAACTCAATCTGTGTTTTGTGGTAATAAGCATTGTGTATTAGTTTCATAACATTTGGCTGAGGCAAACTTAAGTTAAGAGAATGGAAACCAATTTTGGGATGTACGTATGTACGTACACACAAACGGACAAGGGTAAAACTTAATGCCCCCACCGCTTAGGCAGGGGCATAAAAACTTACAATCAAGCACACATAAACAGCATGCTAGAGTTCTTATCTTATTAACACTATCTTAGTTTTCTTTGTTTAAATTTTTCAACCTATACTTATCCTCATTCCTATGAGAACTTATCATGCTCAAGTGTTTGCAGACTTGTTTATGGACTCATATGAATCTTTAATTCCTGTCATCATTTTTTTATGATAAGAATTTCAGAGGCAGAAATATTCAACCTAACATTCAGATATAAATACAACATTCACTCTCCTTGTTTTTCTGAATGGATTTTATTGGTTTATTCAGCAAATAAATACAGAAAATGATTATTCTGCCTCATTTTAAGACCTATTTTTTTATGCTGATTGTAGATATGTAGATGCTAAGCAGAAGTTTTAATATACACCAGAACACATCTGCGACATTGTGTGTCTGTGACTGAATTAAAGTACCTACTCCTTGTTTTTAGTCTGGATTTTTAGTATTCGTATTATCATCTGATAAAGTATTGCTGATTATAAGGTGAACAGTTATATCGCTTTAACAAGAATGGGTCCATAGTACACAGATGCCCCACTCGCACTATCATTTTTTTTTTTTCAGTGGACCATGAAATTGGGATCAAAACTCTAATTTGGCATTAAAATTAGAAAGATTATATCATAGGGAACATGTGTACTAAGTTTCAAGTTGATTGGACTTCAACTTCATCAAAAACTACCTTGAACAAAAACTTTAACCTGAAGTGGGACAGACAGATGGAACGAGGGATGAACGGACGAACTGACGGACAGACAGACTCACAGACCGAAAAACATAATGCCCCTAGGTGGGGCATAAAAATCTTTCTGTTTGAACCAAGGTGACAGTACACAGAAAGATCTTTCATCCTACCTGAACCCATAATTCTTTTTTCAAGATGACCAGTCTCTGCTACTTTTACAAGCCAAACGATAAGCAGAGAAGCAGTAAATACCCATTATCAAGTGTTTAATTTGACCCAGCCAGAATTGAATCCATGCCCTCCCCCCTTTTCCAGAAAACCACTCAGGTGGTGGCACAGATTTGAACTTCTACAATAATGGACAATTTCACACTTAGGTATATGAAGATGACAAACATGACAATTTCAATTTTGAAATAGCCTACATATACCTTTCCTATATTCAACAGTAATATATCACCTCCATCTGTATACATATACCTTTCCTATATTCAACAGTAATATATCACCTCCATCTGTATACATATACCTTTCCTATATTCAACAGTAATATATCACCTCCATCTGTATACATATACCTTTCCTATATTCAACAGTAATATATCACCTCCATCTGTATACAAACTATTTGTGTTAAAACAGCTGGTTGGATATTTTTAACTTTTCTGTGACTTAAAACAGACTAAAACATATCAATCTGATTAAGGATGTTCGCTCCTCCTGTTTTTGAATATTTTGCCAGATATTCGGAATCCTCTGGTTTTACCCATGTAGTGCCATTAAAAATATTTCCCCACTAACCCCTACTTTTCTTTTCATAATTTTATTACACATAGTTTTAAAAGCTATATTTGAAAATCCTATAAAATCCTTGTTATTTTTTCATATTTTATCAAAGAAAAAGGGTGCTAATGTTAAATGTATGAAAAGTCTAGAGAGAATTATTTCCCGCCAAATTTTCAATGGCTTTTATCTCGAAAACAAGCACACGGACCCTTCATTTTTTTCTGCTTTTTTAGTTCCTTTATTTATATACTATCAATTTATAAAAAGTCTTTTAAAAAGCTTGTTATTTTGAAACAGAGTAGCGAACATCCTTAAACTACAGATCCTGTCTCCATGTTTCTCTAACAAGGATCTAACAACACTCCTTTTCTACTCTCTGTTTTAACAACATTACAGGTTCCTCTGGTTTTATCGTAGTGATACACACCTTCAAAAATATGGAGGCAGAAATTACATTGGTTGATTTAGTAGTTATCAGAAGAGAAAGTACCGTACAGCTTAGAGTTGTCAGAAACATGTAACAAATATTTTGCTGGGTTTTAAATTCATAACATAACATATTGGTACACATGAATATAAAGCATCTAACCTTAGTGTACATATTCCAATTCCTGCTATCATCTTTCCAGTACCATCTCCACTGTGTAAGATAACTATCGACCATCATTTTCTTCTCAGCAAAGGATGGGGTACTTAGACGTCTGACATCACAACTAGTATTGTCAGCAGCAGCTGGTTGACCATCAACATCATAAATTATTGCCTGCATATTTGAGAACCTGATACGGTAACTGTATTTAATACTCATATACTTCACCTGAAATTAATTAAAAATGTTCCAGATTTGAGAGTGACATTCATGTAAAAGCATGAGTAATAAATATAGCATTACTTTTAATATGTAGGATTCTAATATGACGTTCTTCTTTCTCTTTGGAAACAAAGCCATGTTCAAATTGCAATAAAACATGGGCTGCAAACAATTAACATCACAATTAAAAGTGTGACGTAAGTTGTATTTTGTAACGCCAGAGATCATAAACTGTTAACACAGAGATATGTCTCGCCTATTTGTTATTTTGATAATGCAGCAATACTTTAACATGTAAGTTATGCAAATATTCAAAGTCAATGAACCATGACTGAAGGTACATGGCAAAACAATCTCCATGGAAATGAGATGTGCCACTACTAATACAACTGCAAACCAAATACCATTGACTTTTCATAAGTCGTTCCCTTTAAACAAACCTAAACACAAACATTAACTTGTAAACTATGTAAAAGTTTCAAAGTCAATGAACCATAATTAGGGGATGGGGTTATATAATCTCCATGGAAATGAAACTTGCAAATGCCAATACATTTGTATACTGATTATCATTGACTTAACATTAGTGGTTCATCTTAAACTGACCTAATCACAAACTATAATACATGTAAACTAACCAAAAGTTTTTAAGTAAATAGACCATGACTGAGGGGGCGGGGGCCAAATAATCTCCATGGAAATGAGATATGCCAATGCTAATACAACTGCATACCAAATATCTTTGACCTACCACTAGTGGTTCACCATGAACTAGACCTAATCACAAACTAATACATTATTGACTACGCCGCCGTCGCCGCCAACGCCGGAAACAGCATACCTATGTCTCGTTTTTGAGTCCGTCAAGGTGAGACAAAAATGGACATTTGTGTTGGTGCTGCTCATTAGGAAATTAAATAAAATATCTAAAAGTAAGATTACATTTATCTGTTAATTTCTTATCGTGAAACAGTTTATTTTCTATTTTGGCTTCATGAAAAAAAAAAATGACTGCCTTTTGAAGTTTGAACGTGTATTATACATGTTATAGGTCCACTTCGAAGTACAAGAGTTATAAATTTTCTTATTAGAATCAAAATAATTCTATCATGCCATGCTTAATGCTCCTTTTAACATGGGTAGGCATTATATTTGTCAACATTTTACACCTCGCTAACGCTCAGTATAAAGATATTGACAAATATAATGCCTACCCATGTTAAAATGAGCATAGAGCATGGCATGAAAGAATTATTTCTTAATTTTTTTGCTTTCAAAGTGCTGTATTCATAAACAGTATCTTCAACCAATCTTCACATGAAATACTTTAAAGTCACGAACACAAAATCAAGTTCTCAAGGATAGTTCTACTGGCCAGACAACATTTTTACTGGCATGGGCAATTTTGTGGTTAATGATGAAGACTACATGATTGTCATCTAAGCAAATTAAATGTAATTTCAAATGTACAATTACAAATATCTCACAGACTAATTAATGTATTAGAACATATGAGGGATGTTACGTGATGCATATAATCGATTAATTGTACTATTGAATGTCATATTAGTATTTCATACCTTCTTATTTGTTCCAAAATTAAGAGATCTATCATGCCAACTGTTCTGACTACCATGTACAACTATACCCATACGGCCCATACCACAACCTTATATTGGTTAACTGCATTGTTCACAAAACCCTTTTTGTGGCAAACTTGGGACAATACATGATTTAAAAAATACCTTTTTTTTGGATAATTGTTTTAAAGATTTTGGCAAAAAAATCAATGCATCATTTCAACATTATGACATCAAAATAGAAAAATGATGGAATTTATTCCCTTAAATATTAACATCTTGAGATAAATAATTAAACAATGCAGAATTATTTAGAGGAATTTCATTTAATGAGGCCATAATAAACATGTGCCATTCCTAGTCCTACGACTTACGAAAAACAAAAATAAGGAGATATGATTGCCAGACAACTATCAGTAAGACTAGCAGAGAACAAAAGACATTAAGGATGCAAACAACGAAAGGTATTCAACAATGAGCAAAACCCAAACTGTATATTATCTTATCTCCTATATATATCTAGGAATATGATTGGTTAAAAGAAACTGTGTGGAGACTGTGTATATTCCATATTGGGTTAGTAGGCGGGGCTTATTTCAATACACGGTTAGTAGTGGTGTTACCTCCCTTTATGAAACAACAAGGTCTTGAGGAAAAATTTTAAAGGTTTCAACAGACGAATAAATTAATGATGAACGATTGAAATAAATTCATAAAACACAATTATAGCTAACAAGTTGTTATTGTTGGCATTTGTTTTTGTATAGACCAATGGAAGTAGGTTCTTAATACCAACTGTATTGAAGACTTGATCACTTTAATATGCCACTAGTCTAAATACCACATGTTAAAACAGTCGGTAAGATAAATTCGTTACATAGTGTGCTAGTGACCTAATACAATATATATGGGGTCAGTAAATTCCATATGGGGATTCAAGCTTCCCTAGAATTAACTGACCCCATATATATTGTATTAGGTCACTAGCACACTATGGAACTATAGTACGCACATGATACACCCTTCTTTTGTATATATTGAAAAATAAAAAATAAAATGGAATACTGTAAACCAATTTATTTTCGCGGATACTTTATTTCGCGTTTAGTCCTTTCTAGCCCACCTCGCGGCGATTTAATTTCGCGATTTTCAAATTAACTTGATGTAGTTAGCAATGGTTAGATAAGGAAAGATCCATTTTTAAATTTTCGCGAAGATTTATATTCATGTTATTTTTCTACTCGCGAAAGTCGCGAAAATAAATCGCTCGCGAAAATTAGTTGGTTTACAGTATATCATGTACATGTATATGTAGAATTTTTTTTTTTATTAGAAATCAGTAAAATGCCCCTGTAGAAAAAGTTGCATGAGGACAATGAAGGATATATGTCATATAAATAATGCCTAAAATATGATAGCTAAAAGTCCCATAACTCTATCTGGAACATCAGACCAGAAAATTTACAAAATATAAAAGTAGCTTACATTCACCAATCCCAACAACACTGTAAATTTTGTAGCAATTTGATATAGACATGCTAGAGTTAGTGCATGCCATATGAAATAGATTTATTTGAAACTTTACACAATTGTAGACATTGGTCATGTTGGTGAAAGTATTAAAAGTACCTTTTGATTTTGAAAAATCAGAAAATTTTCAAAATCAAAAGGTACTTTTAATACTTTCACCAACATGACCAATGTCTACAATTGTGTAAAGTTTCAAATAAATCTATTGAAGCATACTTATAAGTTAATCGAGTACACCATGTGAAAAATTTAATTAAATCTGTCGGATAATGTCCCATAACTCTGGAGTTACAAACCAGAAAATATTCAAAATTAAAAACCATGAATCAATCCCAATAACAGGATAAAGTTTTGATAAATTCAATCTCATACACTAGTAAGTTTGTGATATGTATATATTTGCCTTAAATCTGATGAATAAAGTACCGATCTAACTCTACAATAAAATGCTCCGCAGGGCACAGCTTGATACGACCGCAGAGGTCGAACCCTGAACAGTTGGGGCAAGTATGGACACAACATTCAAGCTTGATACAGCTTTGCATTTGGATTGTGATTAAATATTTGACACAGCATAGGTTTCTAACACAGAATGAATGTGGTCTAAGAACTTAAAAATTTTAAATTGGACATTCACCTATTATGGTCCAATATCCAAAATCTAAATACATAGTTAGATTCAGCATATCAAAGAACCCCAAGAATTCAATTTTTGATGAAATCAAATAAAGTTTAATTTTGGACCCTTTTGACCTCAATGTGGACAAAGTTGATAAAGGGGCCCAAAAATCAAAAATCAAAATACATGGTTAGATTCAGCATACCAAAGAACCCCATATATTCAATTTTTGTTGAAATCAAACAAAGTTTAATTTTGGACCCCGATTTGGACCAACTTGAAAACTGGGCCCATAATCAAAAATCTAAATACATGTTTAGATTCAGCATATCAAAGAACCCTAAGAATTCAATTTTTGTTAAAATCAAATTAAGTTTAATTTTGGACCCTTTGGACCTTAATGTAGACCAATTTGAAAACGGAACCAAAAATTAAGAATCTAAATACATGGTTAGATTTGGCATATCAAAGAACCCCAATAATTCAATTTTTGATGAAATCAAACAAAGTTTAATTTTGGACCCTTTGGACCTCAATGTGGACCAATTAAAAAACGGGGCCCAAAATCCAAAAACTAAATACACGGTTAGATTCAGCATATTAAAGAACCCCAAGAATTCAAGAATAAAACCCCATTGAAATTGGTCAAGAAATAAGCAATTTATAAGAAGTATCTGTCTTTTGCACAATACTGTGCAATTAAATATTTCTTGCTATTGCGCAATAGTGCGCAATACTGTACAATTGACAATTTCTTGCTATTGCGCAATATTGTGCTATTGGATATTTCTTGCTATTGCGCAATACTGTGCAATTGAAGATTTCTTGCTATTGCGCAATACTGTGAAATTGAAGATTTCTTGCTATTGTGCAATACTGTGCAATTGAAAATTTCTTGCTATTGCACAATACCTATTAAATAATAATTTACACTTCCTGTTTGGTGTGTATCTCCTACCATATCATTATTATTTGCTTTTAAATATAAATCAGAAATAACCAACTTAAAATGGAAAATTTTAAAAGAAAAAAAAAGGAAAAAAAGAAAAAAAAGGAAAAAAAAAAAAATCCCCCCCCAAATTTTTTGAACCCCCTTATGATTCATCACCCCCAAACTCAATCCCAGCCTTCCCTTTGTGGTATGGTACCTTGCAGTACAATTTCAGAGAGATCCATACACTTGAACACAAGTTATTGTCTGGAAACTAGAAAAATGCTTATTTTTGGCCCCTTTTTGGCCCCAAATTCCAAAACGTTTAGGGCAATTACCCCCAAACTCAAACCCAGCTTTCCCTTTGTGATATGGAACCTTGTAGTACAATTTCAGAAAGATCCATACACTTACACACAAGTTATTGTCCTGAAACTAGAAAAATGCTTGTTTTTTGCCCCTTTTTGGCCCCTAATTCCTAAAATATTGAGGCAATTACCCCCATCATCAATCCCAGCCTTCCCTTTGTGGTATGGTACCTTGCAGTACAATTTCAGAGAGATCCATACACTTGAACACAAGTTATTGTCTGGAAACTAGAAAAATGCTTATTTTTGGCCCCTTTTTGGCCCCCAATTCCTAAACGTTTCGACAATTACCCCCAAAATCAATTCCAGCTTTCCCTTTGTGATATGGAACCTTGTAGTACAATTTCAGAAAGATCCATACACTTACACACAAGTAATTGTCATGAAACTAGAAAAATGCTTGTTTTTTGCCCCTTTTTTGGCCCCTAATTCCTAAAATTTTGAGGCAATTACCCCCAAAATCAATCCCAGCATTCCTTTTGTGATATGGAACCTTGTGGTACAATGTCAGAGAGATCCATACACTAACACACAAGTTATGTCTGGAAGTTACAAAAATGCTTATTTTTGGCCCCTTTTTGGCCCCTAATTCCTTTACTGTTGGTACCATAACCCCCAAAATCAATCCCAACCTTCCTTTTGTGGTATTGAACCTTGTGGTAAAATTTCATAGAGATCCATTCACTTAAACTAAAGTTAGAGTGCGAAAACCAATGTGTCTTCGGACGACGCCGGACGACGCCAGACGACGACGACGACGACGCCAACGTCATACCAATATACGACCACAAAAATTTTTTTGCGGTCGTATAAAAACAAATCACAAAATTTTCAAAATCAAAAGGTAGCTTTCCTGGTTCCATCTTACTGTTGTGGTAAAATCTAATGAGCATTGTTGGTTTAAAGCAAAGGAGAGTTTATGATTAAAGCCAATATTTGGCCCATGAAATTGCAAAATAGTAAACTTATAAACTATATAATTCTGGCATTTCAGTGCAGCAAGACCCCTTGTGATGTCTCTTTATGACGTCATAAACAAGTAGAAATTTCCGTATTTTATCTAAAATGGCCATTTCACGCAGAGTTTTTGGTCTCAAATATATATAAGCAAACTTTACCAAAATATATTTTACACCAATGAACATCCTTGTAAAATATCTTTTTGGGTAAAGGTGTTGTTTCTATCCAAATATTACAGACAAGATCTCAAAATGAGGCTATTACATGTATTTAGACAGTTTTTGATATTTCGCACTAAATGTAAGAGGCCCTAACACCAATATGTAATACAGCGTTTTAAAAATACTGTATAAATAGTTGATGTTTGATCATGTTGATAGGCTAATGTGTTATGAACATCTGATGGATTGTATTTGGTCAATATTTAAAATGCTTTTTGATTTTCAAATGCAAGGGGCCATATAATTGGCCTCATCAGACATCTCCTTGGAGTTATTCTATGAAATGTTGACATGCTGATAGATGCACTATGGTATACTATAATACCCCCTTCTAAGAAAGGGGTATAAAACATAAGGTGCCTATCTACAAGTACTCATAGTTACTGAAAGCTAGTTCTAAGCAAATTCCAACACATAAATATATACCATTTTCTCTTAGGATTGCTTTCAGTCTATCAAATTTCTTGTGTTTCTGGAACATTGAAAAAATGTTGAAACTGTCCCCCTTCCAGATTCTCACATAAAAACTAGGATGAAAGATGTCTTAAAAAGATGACTATCCTGATATAATCCATCATTTATGTATAAATATATGTTGTACTGTTACACCACTGTCCCAGGTCAGGGCGCTCACAAAAATGTTTAACCCCGCCACATTCTTTACGTGCCTGTCCCCAGTCAGGAGCCTGCAGTTCAGTGGTTGTCCTTGGTTAATGTCTGTCATATTTGTTTTTCATACATTGTTTTGTTATAATTAGGCTGTTAATTTTCTCAATTGAATTGTTTCATATTTTTCATGTCTGGGCCTTTTATAGCCGACCATATGGTATGGGTTTTTCTCATTGTTGAAGGCTGTACATTTGCCTATAATTGCTTACATCCACTTCATTTGAATTTTGGTGGATAGTTGTCTCATTGGCAATCATACCACATCTCCTTATTTTTATATAATATCTTAATGGTTAAACTGAATAGAGAAAGGAAAGGGGGAATACGATGTTCTACCCTTATTAATTACATTACCAAATATTCATGACAAATTACCATTAAAAAGTGACCAGAAAATATCATCATATCAATTTATCACTAAATTACCATAACTTTGAAAGGATATAAGAATTATACTATTGTTTGAAATTTTCAAGGTTAAATTAAAAAGTAATCATGGTAACCTCTATAAACTTACTTCAGTTGATTCAACATCTAGTAGATTGCAGTAACCTTTCTCTATTTTCTCGTTCTCTGCCAATGTTAGAGAAAACCATTTGCCAAACATTTTTATCTGCCACAAGTAAGGAATACCACTGGGCAGATGAATATTTTTACATGATGCAGATGGACATTTATCCTTAGACACAAAAATGCAGATTTTGGAAATATCTATATCATCCTTTAACACAGAAGGGTTTCTTTCTTGATAATCTGGATCAGATGGACTCACTTTTGAAGGCCTTGGTGGGGGCTTTGGCTTTACAACTTTACCAGAACTGGTTCCCTGCTTCTCCTGTTTGTACTTTTCCATCAATAATCTCTCTTTTTCTTTAATGTCATCATCATCATCATATGTATGTTGTGGTACAGACATTTTAGGAAGACCTTGGTCGTCTTTACCTACAATTCCACAAATGATATCTTCTGATGATTTGAATCTTTCTCTGCGGCCAAGCTTCATCTTTCCTCTTTCCCTAACATCTTCTATACTAAGATTTTCAACAGAGGTGATTAACTTATTGAATTTTCTGGCTGGACCAGATGCAGTACTTGAAAGGCTTTCACTACTGATATTTACATCGCTGTCGTAACAAACACTGGCATCATCAGCATCATCTTCATCTTGACTGAGGTCAGAATCATCAGAATAATCATCCTCATTTACTTTTCTTTGTCTTGGTGGTACATATATAGACCTCAATACTCGTGCCTCTGGCCATCCCTTCATATGACATGAAGTCAGAACCCATTTGTTGTGAAACTGAGTGATAGAGTGAGTTTTCTTAAACTTGCATGGGTCTTTGCATCTTCCAAATACTTTTTTCTCACATAAGTGTAAGTGTGGGCATCTTTTTTCTCCATTTTCTACCTTACAACCATTGTTGTAAACATAATCTGCACAAACTGACGGAGAATTACAATTTAGGACAATCTTGATGTCAGTATCAGTAAATTCGCGGATTCCAAGTTTATCCTTTAAATGCCGATTGTGTAGATTTCTAAAACTATGAGACAGTGGACAATCCTTATCTTTACAGTTGCCTCTAATGAAGCGACGACAGATGTGGAAAAAATCACACTGAGCATTCTGACATTGACCTAGATTTTGCTTGCTGTTCCATTTGTTACAGATTCTGGCATCTTGAAAAAATGGTTGGAGATAAATAATGTCCTTTCCTTCCCAGAATACATGAAATCTTCTACTATGTTTTTTAAACCACAGAGGAATATTAGAGCCCATAGGAAAAAGATCACAACGCCTTAAAAAGTCTTCAAAAGTACATCCTCCGCCAAAAGATTTGATCAGGAATTTAAATACATCATTATCATCCACATCTGGTATGTCTTCATCTTCCAATTCATTTTTTCTCTCACTTTGCTGTCTACCACCTCTTCCACGACCCCTATCTCTACCCTTTCCCCTTCCTCTTTGATTTCCATGAGTATCACCTCCTTCATTTTCCCTTATTTCATTTCTATTTTCATTATGCACATGTCCTCCTCTTCCTCTCTGTTGACCTTGACCTCTTCCTCTAACTCCTTGATGACCACGGTTACTTTGGCCGATTTCCTCATTAGGATTTGACTCTTCTTCATTCATATGACTGGTTTGGCCACCTCTGCCTCTATTATAACCTCCTCTTCCTCTTCTGTTCTGTCTAGAACCTTGACTACTAATACTGTCAACACTTCCGAAAATTTTATTCAGATTTCCTCGACTTCCTCTGTTTGACCTCTGACTAAGGAGATCATCTCTAGATCCCAGGTATTTATCCATTTCATCCTCAGATTCAGCATGTTCAGAAGATTTGGAAGATTCTGAATCTTGCTTGTCATCCTTCTGGTTATTTTGCCCTCCATGACCTTTGCGCCCACGACCACCTCTTTGCCTACGCCCTCTACCACCTCCTCTATTACTGTCATCGTCCATACTTTCACCTATAACCCTAGTTTCAACTCTGTAGTGTTCTGCTGGTTCTTCAGACAATAAAGATTTTAGTTTTATGAAGCCATCTTCCTCAGATTGATTTGCCTGTCCTGATCTGGGATGATCCTGTATTTCATTCTCTTCAGTTTTTTGTTTGTTTTTTTTTCCTCTTTTCTTCTTAGGTTGTTTTTCTCTGTCTGGAGTTTGTTGGTCTCTCTGTGGATTACCTTGATGGTCAATTATATTCAAATTTCCTGCAAAGAAGTATAAATCTTTTCTGAGGAAATGTTTATGTCACTAAAATGCTCTATGCAAGAAATAAAGGCATAACTGTGTGCAGCATGATTATCAAAAAAAAAATGAATTCCATCTAAACTTGGACTTTTTACCTGAATGAACAAATTGAAGTGTTATAATATATTTACCCATTCCAAACCTCATGTTTTCAAAATAATCTTTATATTATTTAGAGAAGAATGTGACAATAGAACACAAATATTACTACAGCCACTATAAATGATAATGAATGCCATCCAATCAGTAGAAAATGTGAAATCTTTGTAGAAAATCTATCAATAATAAAAACAAGAGTGCACACGCTGAAATGTCTCGCCTTCTTTACTAACCATTGATTTTATGTTGATAGTCCTAAATACAAAGCTTTGCTACAAGTAACACATAAACTAACCATGATCCAAGAAAATGAGGTCAAGGTCAGATAAACCAAATGAGAAATACATGTACACCTTACAATCATTCAATAAACAAAACATAGTTGACCTATTGCTTATTGTTTCTAAGAAACAGTCTAAAACAAGAAAACTTAACATTGACCAATGAACCATGAAAATGAGGTCAAGGTCAGATGAACCATGCCAGACAGACATGTACACCTGACAATCAATTTAGGCATTAAATATAGTTGACCTATTGCTTATAGTATCTAAGAAACAAACTTAACCATGAAAACTTAACATTGACCAATGAACCATGAAAATGAGGTCAAGGTCAGATGATACCTTCCAGACAGACATATACACCTTACAATCCTTCCATACATCAAATATAGTTGATCTATTGCTTATAGTTGAAGAAAAACAGACCAAAACACAAAAACTTAACACTGAGAAATGAACCGTGAAAATGAGGTCAAGGTCAAATAAAACCTGTGAGACTGGCATGTACATCATAAAATATTTTCATACACCATTTATAGTTGACCTATTGCATATAGTATTAGAAAAAAGACCAAAACTCAAAAACTTAACTTTGACCACTGAACCATGAAAATGAGGTCAAGGTCAGATGACACCTACCAGTTGGACATGTACACCTTACAATCATTCCATATACCAAATATAGTAGACCTACTGCTTATAGTATCTGATATATGGACTTGACCACGAAAACTTAACCTTGTTCACTGATCCATGAAATGAATTCAAGGTCAAATGAAAACTGTCTGACGGGCATGAGGACCTTGCAAGGTACGCACATACTAAATATAGTTATCCTATTACTCATAATAAGAAAGAAATTAACATTACAAAAAATGTTGACTTTTTTTTCAAGTAGTCACTGAACCATGAAAATGAGGTCAAGGACAATGGACATATGACAGACAGAAACTTCGTAACATAAGGCATATATATACAAAGTATGAAGCATTCAGGTCTTCTAGCTTCTAAAATATAAAGCTTTAAAGAAGTTAGCTAACGCCGCCGCCACCGGTCAACTATCCCTATGTCGAGCTTTCTGCGGCAAAAGTCGCAGGCTCGACAAAAACAAAACAATTTCCATGAAGTTTCAAAGACAATGTAATTTGAAAACCTACAATCATACCTTTTAAAAGTTCTTTGATTATTTTAAAATGTTGGTGTCAAATTGGACATGTGGTATGGGGTAAAAACTGTTGATCCAATATTATTTGTGGGGAACTAAGGTTTGTTTTAAATTGGACATGTACATGTAGTATAAGGTCATAACTTTTGATTCATATTTGTGGGGAACTACTTTCTGTGGATAACCAGTGCAACACTGAAATGTTCTCAATTGAGAATGGGCACATTCATTGGAAAAGCTGGACTAGTCTTTTGAAGAATTTATTCCCTAAAAAATTATTTTGTTCCAAATCACTTGGCTTGTAAACTTGATGATCTGGTGATATATTTGTCTATTGGTCTGTACTTCTAAGACATGAACAGATAGTCCCTTTAATCCTAAAATTGCCTAACCAGTGTAAGCAGTAATACAGTGCCTAAATTTGTAGGAATCAGTTAGTATAGGAATGGGGATTATTTTTGTAAATTGCCAGTATACAAATGCAAGGAGCTTCATCTTCTAGCTATAGCTGCACATCTATACCGAATTATAGTTGCATTATATGTAAACAGGGAAGGTGTTTTAAATATACATGTGTCTACCTTGAGGCAAATTTGGGTTGTATTGTGGCATCAATAGTGGAGGATAAGAAGCTGGTCCTTGTCCTGGAGGGGCATCAGCAGATGACACAGGAACAGGAACCATGACATCTGTAAGGTGAACAATGAATATTAGCATTAAAATTATTCATTTATGGACAAGTATACTGGATAATATATTTATTTCTATTCCGTTATATTTGGAATTTCCCTATTCTATTTCTATCTTTAGACTTGTGGTACAAGTTTGGCTAGTATGTAAATCAGAAGTGGTCTGATGTTACTGTTGTTTTCTGCACGAATATTTCGAGGGCGGTAGTACAGGTGGGGTTTTATAGGCATATATAAGTCCTGATTACGTTTGATTATTATCGATGTGCTCCAGTAACTTTGATAGACGAAGTTAACGTTAAGCTCTGCATAATATATTACAGTTATGTTTGTATTGATATGTATTTAGAGGACATTGTGAATGTATATAGATGGAATTGTGGTATATTTTTGTAATTTGTAAAATGTTTACAAGATATTAAATGTTGTTTCGCTGAGAAAATAAGAAAGTTACTGCGAGCAAACAAACCTAAATTATGACTTGTCTCTTATTTAGCCATGTATTTAGAATAGAAATGTTTTAAATTCGGACGAATTCATGAGGGAGAATTTAAATATTCTTAAACTAGCCAAGGGAGGGAAAAGACCAGAAATAACACCAGAAACAGAATATTAGGAGTTCATCATATATATATATATATCGTACAATATCAGCCCCTTGACACAATTAATCTTTTTTGCTCTTTCCCTACTTGCCTAACAATCAGCCGACAAAATTCACTTTACAATGTCAGGACCTTGTATGGAGCGTTTCTTTAGCAGTTTCTTTAGCATATTAATCATGTTAATTGCTTAGTGTTTGTGTTTTGTCATAGACAAGTGTTAAAAGTTATTTTGGAAAATTTTGGTGTTGATTGCAGATTTTTCAAATTCTCCAATAAATATGATGATCATTTATTCACTACTTTTTGGTGTTTTTGTATTGTTTTGTTGCTGTCTCATTGACATGCACCCCATTTCACCTATTCATAACCATGTTTCCTGCAGATATCATTAGCAATCAATAAATTTTACGGATTCTGTAAGAATCAATGGTAAATGCAAGGCAAAATCTTAATCTTCCATTAATCATTTAACTTACATTGGACATTCTGTTGAGGTTGGTTCATATTTTGTGCTGGTGGTGGTGGCATCATTCCTGCTAACCCTGGACCATAATTTTGTGGATGCCGTTGTTGGTTGTAACCTTGATACTGGTTTCGGGGTTGGTTATATCCTTGATGCTGATTTGGTTGTTGGTTATACTCTTGATTGGCACACATTCCTTGAGGTCTTCCTTGATACTGGTTTGGTTGCTGGTTATATCCTTGATACTGGTTTGGTTGTTGGTTATATCCTTGAAACTGGTTTGGTTGTTGGTTATACCCTTGATTTGTATGCATTCCATGAGGAACTCCTTGATACTGATTAGTATTCATGTTGTTAGGCTGCCACCCTGAATGTATATTCGGTGGAAAATCTGGGGAACATCCTGTCTACATAAATAAATTGACAAATTAACCATGTTAGCATATATGAAAACTAGAGGCTCTGTGTCATTCACCTGCATCTTCAACAATAGACACTTTTAAAAAAAAAAATCCTCATTAAAGGGGAACAACTGTATTTTTTGCTTTTTAACATGTTCTTACTTTTTCAATGTTTAAATAAAGAACTGCTGAACCAACGCCTCCTATGTTTTAAAAGATGCAGTTTACTTAAGTGTTGTTGTCAATGTAGTGGTATTTTTCAATGTTTGAAATTTTTTTCTAAATTAAGTGATTACATCAAATTTTTTTACTAACAGTATGGCAACACAGAAATGAGAAACTGATGATGTCATACAAAACAAAGAGTCAACAGAACTCAGAATGCTCTGTGTAATACTCAGTCATAATAAAATCCTCAAAGATCCACAGGTTCTACCATTAAACATGTTTAGTGATGTAGCTAGCACTTTTCAAAATGATGAAAGTATTTCAAATCAATTTCGTCACTTAAATTTGATCAGTGTAAAAATATTTTTGCATGAAAATACTATAATTCTACCTGTTGATATTCATGTTATTGACAAGTTTATGACCCTCAGCTAATCAACGTTTACAACTGGTGTTATAAGTTGTGATTACAGGTAATCCACATATTGCCATATCAGATGGATCACTTATCAGTTAACTAATAAACCGCATAATAGACCATAATAATTATTTTTCTCAGTAAAATCGATCAGTCGGCATTTCAATTTCAATATTTCTCAAACGACCACAATTTGCTGTTCGTTCTAAAAGTTGTAATTTCATCATTTGAACAAAATTATTTTCCCCAGGTCAGTTCGCATTTTAATTTTAATGTATCTCAAACAATCACAATTTGCAGTTTATTTGTCGTAGTTTTGTCATATCTCATATAACTTTTCATCAAAAACTTTCAACAATTGCGATTAAAAAGATAGAAATTTATTCAAAACGTTCAGAAATATTTTAACAAGTCAAACCAGAGGCTTTCTAAACTATGTACTGCGCATGTGTGAAAGTATACTTATAAGTTAAATACAAGATCATTTAGTATCAAATGAAAAGAGAGAGACAAATACATTTCTTACCAAGCAACTTAATTTAAAAAAATTATAATTTCCGGCCTTTTCTTAAACACGAACCAATCTGTAGATGAATCCAGATTCATTCTGAATTTATTATCCTCTTGTCACTTCCTGTTTTCATTTTGTTTAAAAATCGAAAGTAATTGTGATCTATTCTTGATTATTTTACAATATACAGTCATTATAACCGTTCCAACAAGGGTTTGTACAAATCCTTGGTTCTAGCTAGGTTTATAGAAATGAATTCCAAATATCAATTTAAAAGATTTTACAGGGATAATAATTATGCAGTGAAATAATTGGTACAAGTTTTTTTATGCTGTGATTCCTGGTTTAAAAAAAAAAGAGACCCAACTTTTGTTGATCAGGAATGTCCCCTGAAAATAACTGAAGATAAATTGTGAACTTGATTTCCAGATCCTTATTCTTATCTTCATATTTAAGCACCACATCAGTCAAATCATGCAATAACTGCCTTGCATGCCTAAGTCCTTCAAAGATGTATAGCTAGTAATATACATCCTTGGTCCCTTCCTGTTACCAGTCAGGGATATAACTCTATAGGGTTATTACAGAAAAATAACATACATTTGTTATTGTGGACTAAAAAGGTCAAAGAACTGTGATAACATATGTATGTTACATGTTTCAAAGGGACAATATACATCATTAGTTTAGTTAAAATGTATACAAGTTCTATTCATATTACTATTGTCTTTATGTATACTTAACTATAGAAAGATATAACAGTTCATAGTTTGCCAATTATGCATAGTACACCTATGTTATTACAGAAAAAATATGCCTGTAATAACTAAAGGGTGTTATCACAGCTACTCCAAAGCATTTGCTCAGACATACATCATGCTTAATTACAATGTATTTTAATTTATTGTAAGAAATAATGACCAGAGCATGTAATGAGGTTCTGCGCAAGCTTCCCAGTTATTCCCGAGTGTCTCATATAATAAGTTACATTCCTTTGATAACCAAGCCTTGTTATTACAGCTAAGTTTATCCCTTAAAAGCCTCGTCTCATTGATTTACCATGGTTAATCAAAAATGTATTAATTCAATTCAAAAATTAGTTATCAAGGCTATGCATTTAGTTTCTGCGCAAAGTCTCAAGAGTTCCCTAGAGCCCACTATAGATTAAAATATTTTTTATTTATTTTACAAATAACAAACATATGTTATTACAGATTTAGAAAATTTAAGGAATAAAGAGTAGACAACTCATGAAAGTATCTGTAATAACACATGCAAGTTATTTTCTGTAATAACCCTATAGAGTTATATCCCTGACTGGTTACCCAAAATAAGGTTGAATTTCAACTAACTAAAAAAGCGACTAAAGCACTCAAAATCCTAGCTTAGACCCTGCTACCATTAATACCTTATAAAGAGCCCAGTAAATATTACCAAGATATCAAATCCATTTTGAATAAATTGATTAATTAATTGGTGTTTTAACACCACTTTCAGCACTTATTGTGCTATCTCGTGGTGGTTTGTTTTTATTTGTGGAAGAAGCCGTATTGCCCTGAGAGAACCACAGACCCAGACCTTCAGTAGAATAACTGACTATCATGACTATATATATATCCTGGTCAATTAAGTACAGCGCACCAGACAGATGCAGGATTCAAGCGTTTAACCTCAGTGTGAAATTTTAATAAAGACACTTTAAACAGTTCAGTGGTGCCACCATATTGCTTTTTGGAGATTTGTTGTCATCAAAGGGTTTTTATGTCATCAAATCCTTTAGGCAAATAACAAACACTAGGTTGATTTTTTTTAGATAAAACTTTCATGGAATCTTTGTTGATTATGCTTACTTCAATAGTATGTCCTTGGTTTGCTCTGATTTTCATTTTTCCTGTTTCTCTTTCCCACTCCATATGAAATCTCTGCTTGTCATTTGTTTCTACAACTCTTCTTACATCTTCAAGGTCATAGTCACATAGATTCTTTTGCTTTTTCAGAATATCTTCCACATAAAGAAACCCACCTTAAATAACAACACTTTATAGTGCAGAATTTTATCTTTTCATTCAAAAATCTTTAAACAGAAGTCTGGAATATAGAGATTTACCTTACACTTAACAATGCATATGAATATAAAAATCAAAGCATGTTAGCGTTGGATAAAACATTTGATGTATACAAGGAAATACACATGTGTGAAAGCGTCCCACCGTTTATAACATGTACATGATTAGCTAAAATAGCAATATAATGGGGAATAAAATAAATAAATTTTATTGCCGAAAATGCTCAGGTGAGAGTTCTGCAATTTTGTTTTTGAATAGGCACAAAACAGTCACATTATATATCAACAGGTGAAGTATCATGAGAATAAAATAAAACTTACAGAAGCATCACATGGGACGTCCACAAAAAGTCAACTTCGAAAAATGAGCAATTAATATACGTCAGAGGCATCTATTTCTTATAAAATGAATAGTAAGCATGGACTATTCATGCTATTGTCAAATTGTTCTAAAAATGTGGAGAAATAAAACAAAACATCAGTTATTCCATATTTACAGATGAGTTATGATTACAAATGAGACAACTGCCCACCATTGTAAGACCTTGAGCAATGAGTAAAACCCATCTATCTTCCTTCATTGAGTAACAGCTATCAGCCATACATCATCTAAGGCAGTTTTTGGATGTTTTTTGTCAAGGATAATTTCTTATGATTAAAATGTTTTATTCATATAAAAAAGAAGATGTGGTATGGTTGCCAATGAGACAACTCTCCACAAGAGACCAAATGACACAGATATTAACAGCTATAGGTCACCGTACAGACTTCAACAATGAGCAAAGCCCACACCGCATAGTCAGCTATAAAAGGCCCGGAATTCACAAATGTAAAACAATGCAAACGAGAAAACCAACGGCCTAATTAATGTACAAAAAAGAGAACGAAAAAAATCAAATATGTAACACAGCAACAAACGACAACCACTGAAAAACAGGCTCCTGACTTGGGACAGGCACATTCATACAGAATGTGGCGAGGTTAAACATGTTAGCAGGATCCCAACCCTCCCCTAACCTGGGACAGTGGTGTAACAGTACAACATAAGAACGAACTATAAAAATCAGTTGAAAAAGGTTTAACTCATCAGATGGATACAAATAGAAATGCATCTAACAAAAACACAGAGTGGATTGACCGGGTACTTGTACATCCCAACAACAAAAGGACAATAAGTACAGATCTGAGATTACTCCCAGTTATTGACAGCTAGTTCAAAGCCAATAACAACTAATAAAATAAATGGGGAATGTGTCCATGGGACACAGATGATGCCTCTGCTTGCATATAACGTTATAAAGGGACCTAACTCAAGAACTGTAAAAGTGACGATACCCAAATTTGTACTTGATCTGAGTTTTGTGGTGATAAGCATTTTTTTTTAAGCTTCATAATATTTAGTTGAAGCAAACTTAAGTTAGAGAACGGAAATGTAAAATTCAGCAATTTTTTTCATTTGTAAAGGGGCATAACTCTAGAATGGTAAAAGTGACAACACCAAAATTCAACTTGATCTGTGATTTGTGGTGATAAGCATTGTGTATAAGTTTCATAACATTTGAATGAGGCAAACTAAAGTTAGAGAACGGAAACTAAAAATTCAGCAATTTTTCCATTTGTAAAGGGGCATAACTCTAGAACGGTAAAAGTGACAACACCAAAATTCAAACTTGATCGCTACAGCGGGAGCATAAAAAAATCATGCATCTAAGACTAAATTATCAATCAGTACACATCCAACATCCAATGGTTTTAATGTAAAGATGTCATAAACAGTCAGAGAAAAACATGACCTTGTGCAATGCCAAGATACAGGAATCAAGAATTGTAGATCCATGAAAGTGCATATGTATACAACAATAATATTAAGTTTGCTTTTAATTTACTGATAACAAAATCAAAATTAATACCAATAAAAACAATATTCAAAGATCTATTTACAGTTCGGAATTGGTAACCTTTTAGAATAAGTTTATTTAAAGGATCAATAAGTTTACCAGGATCGTTTCTAAATTTCCAGGCACAGTATACAACATCTCCGTAAAAATGAGGATGTGCTATATAGCTATGATTCCGTTCGAAATAAGTTTTCTACAGGTACAACCAAACTTCAAAACCAAATCTTTATATCTATGTTAAACATGTACACAACTTTTTTTCTGAAGGAAATCCACATGGTTTGATACAGACATGTGAATTCAATTGAAATGTTTCACATTTTTTATGTCAGGGTCTTTTATAGATGACTATATGTTATGGATTTTTCTCATTGTTAAATGTCGTAGCATTGCCTTAGCTTACATCCACTACATTTGAACTTTGGTGGATAGTTGTCTCATTGGCAATCATACATGTACCACATCTCCTTATTTTTATATTTATAAGTTAACTGCTAATTTGTTCATTTCTACCATCTGAAAACAAATCAAAACATAAACCTACCTGGCATCATTTTATATCCTAGTTTCTCAGCACCATGTCTCAGTATGTATGATAATGCTTTTGAAAGCTGGAAGTCTGATTTTTCTCCCTATAACAATTGTGTAAAAAATATTAATATATTCAAAGTAAAACTAAAACATTGTTTCAGTTTTCCTTCAAACTGCAGATTTATTGTTTCTTACATATGGACAAAAATAATCTATCAACTGTTGACACAGAGACATGTCTCGCTTGTTGTCAGAAAATTCAAGAAAAAAATCTGATGGACAGCAACATTGCTAATTAATTCAAAGTTTAAGGACCGTGACATAGATGGCAGCCATAAAAAAATCAAAATGGAAGCAGAACTGTATTACTGAAGTATCATCTTACCGAAATACAGGCTTGTATAGTCCGCAGTTTTATTCTCAATTTGACCTGCCAGACAGGGGTTGGACTATAGAGTATGATAAGCAAGAAATAAGAGAAAAAACTAGATTTCGCAAATTTTCTTTACATTCCGCCATGTTTGTTATTGAAATTGTAGAGGGCGCTCTTATCATTTTCAAAACTAATAATTTTACCTTATCCATTTTAATATGTAATTTTTATTCAATATCAAATATAAACTGATAAATTTCAAAATTAAATGCTTGACTACAAATTTCTCGTTTCTTTTCACTGCATTGCTTAAAATAAACTAGAATCGGCTTGCATTTAAAGGAACGAAAAAAGTGTAGAAGTCAGCCGGGAACCTACTTATGCTTATAACAAGGTATAAACTACAAATCGTAATCGGTTATTAGTTTAGTTTTGGTGTTTGACACCGACACATGTGTTTTGTTTTAGCTTAAGATCCTTCAAACATTATTGTGATAGATATATATGTAAAACATTACTTTACTTAAGGATGTAACTGTTTTACTTTCAAAGTCGAACTGATCATGCTGATAGTAAAGCAACTTTATGGAAAATATCATTGATCTATCACAAGTAGTTCATATCAAACTGACGTATGCAGAAAACTTAACAAATATTGATGCCGGAGTTGCTACTGGAAAAGTAACATCTATGTCCCGCCTTCTCCGACAAAAGAACAACAAATTGTTCTTACACAACATTACTCCAGTACTGAAAAAACAAATTAAATCTTTAGATAGATCACCTCTTCAGGTATAAGAAATTTAACATAGTTTTGATGCATGATTTTTTTATAAGCTGTTATTGGCTTTGAACTAGCTTTCTGTAACTGCAAGTACTCTGAGATCTGTGTCTTTCGCATCTATATGATTTTTATAGTTTTTTCTTATGTTGTACTGTTACACTACTGTCCCAGGTTAGGGGAAGCCTTTAGCCAACAAACATGTTTAACCCTGCCACATTCAATACGTGCCTGTCCCAAGTCAGGAGCCTGTAATTCAGTGGTTGTCATTTGCTGTTGTATAACACATTTGTTTTTTGTTTATTGTTTTGTACATAAATCAGGCTGCTAGTTTTCTTGTTTGAATTGTTGAACATTTGTCATTTTCGGTCTTTTATAGGTTTATGCGATATGGGTTCGGCTCATTGTTGAAGGCCGTACAGTTACCTATAGTTGTTAATTATTACTTCTACTATTTCTTCTATTTCATATAGTTTCAGGTGGAGAGTTGTCTCATTGGCAATCATACCACATCTTCTTTTTTTTAATATACATGATATAGTGTAAAATGTTTACAAATAAATGTGGATAGTGTCCACATCTGTCCACAGATGATGCCCCTGCTTGCATATATATCATATAGTCATAAAGGGACATAACTGAAGAACGGTAAAAGTGACGCTACCCAAATTTGAACTTGATCTGAGTTTTGTGGAAATAAGCATTGTGTGTAAGTCTCATAACATTTGATTGAGGCTAACTTAAGAAGAGAACAGAAACTTAAAATTCAACAAAATTTGTCAACACGCATAACTCTAGAACTGTTGTGTATAAGTTTTATAACATTTGGTAGAGACAAACTAAAGTAAGGGAACGGAAATGAAAAATTCGGCAATTTTTATGTTTATAAAGGGACACAACTCAAGAATGGTACAAGTGTTGCCACCAAATTTCGTAATTAATTTGTATTATGTAGTAATAAGCATTGTGTATAAGTTTCATATCATTTGGTTGAGGCACTAAAGTTAGAAAACGGAAACAAAAAATTTGTACTTGATCTTAGTTTTGTGGTAATGAATATTGTGTATAGGTTTCATAATGTTTGGTTGAGGCAAACTTAAGTTACAGAATGGAAACTAAAAATTTTGCAATCTTTCGAGTTATAAAGGGGCATAACTCAATAATGGTTAACGTGACACTACCCAAATTCAACTTGATCTGTGTTTTATCAGTGGAAGTCAAAATTAAACATTGCATTGTATAAAGCATTTAATGTAGTTGATTCAATTATAATCATGAACAAAGGAAGATAACTCTAATTTTAATAAAAATTACTTGAAATTTAGAAGAAAATAAAAATTTTGCAATTTTTCCATTTATAAAGAGGCATAACTCTGAAACGGTTAAAGTGACGCCACCAAAATTCAAAGTGGATCTGTGTTTTGTGGTAATAAGCATTGTGCATAAGTTTCATAACATTTGATTGGGGCAAACTAAAGTTAAAGAACAGAAACGAAAAATTCAGCAATTTTTCCATTTGTAAAGGGGCATAACTCTAGAACGGTAAAAGTGACGCCACCAAAATTCAAACTTGACCTTTGTTTTGTGGAAATAATATATAAGCATTGTGTATAAGTTTCATAACATTTGGTTCAGGCCAACTAAAATTAGAGAACGGAAACAAAAAATTTGGCAATTTTTCCATTTGTAAAGGGGCATAACTCTAGAATGGTAAAAGTGACACCACCAAAATTCAAACTTATCTGTGTTTTGTAATCATAAGCATTGTGTATAAGTTTCATAACATTTGGTTGAGACAAACTAAAGTTAGAGAATGGAAACGATAAATTCAGCAATTTTCCATTTTTAAAGGGGCATAACTCTAGAATGGTAAAAGTGACAACACCAAAATTCAAACTTGATCTGTGTTTTGTGGTAATAAGCATTGTGTATAAGTTTCATAACATTTGGTTGAGGCAAACTAAAGTTAGAGAACGGAAACCAGTTTTGGGACGTACGTACATATGTACGTACCTACAGACAGACAAGGGTAAAACTTAATGCCCCCTCCGCTACAGCAGGGGCATAAAAACAATAACATTAACTAACTTGTACCTGATTTCTAGGCATTGATGGACCTGGAGAAGCTTGTTTTTGTCTTTGTTTCTTAATCATACCACATAAGTAACCACTTTTGTTTTTGACGTTGGTTCTCTCTGATCCCGCAAAAGTTTTAATGACTCCAATGGCTTCATTCACATTACATTCCTTCAGGGCATCTAGAGCTCTGTTGTCTAATTCTTGAGGAGATACTTTTCCTGCAGTAGTAAATAAAATATATGTTTACTTTATTTTTTTATGTAATTACCTACTTCTCATCATCAGATAAATATTTGCTTTCCCCCATCAGTGATCCTGCAACTAATAACTTGAAAACCCATTTATGTTATCTAACACAATGACATGAAATAATGATGTCTGTTAATATCATTATTAATATACAACTTTGTCATGTAGATGTACTCTATTCTCAGAATTATTTTTTTTTTTGATAATTCCTGTGTGTTGTTGATATTTGTCAATCACTGTTATTGGTAATAACCTTACAGGCACTTTCATGGAAAACCCTTATAACACATATACCACTGTTGACTTACTACAATAACAATACATACATGTAAGAGCTTTTTTATTCTAAGAAGCCAACATAAGCATTGATTAATGGGAAAACCTTTAGATGAAAACATTCTATTTTCTATGTTTCAAAATAATAACATTCATTAACATAAAGAGGTCAACATAAATTGTGAAAAAAAGAAATGTGGTCTTTTACAGTACCATTTTCCAAATATAAATATTTTTAGATTATGAAATATTAACATGATTTATACCTTCAACTTGTCCGACAGGAAATTAATACATATGGACACAAACCTGATTCAAACAGACCACAAAGCTCTCTTGCCACTTTAGGATTTAATCCATAATCAACTAATTTTCTATACTCTATTGCAGCCATGACTGTGTTAATCTAAAGCACAAATGCAATATGCAGGATAATGTGCAACCTAGAAGAAAGCAGAAATATCATATTTAACATCATAAAACAATAAAGCTCAAAACCAACTGAATAAATAATGATTTCAGTTCTTTGACATGTTGGATGTCTTTTATTCAATATCTGGAAATTTTTAATTGGATGTCTTTTATTCAATATCTGGAAATTTTTACTAACTGGAGTTTTAAGATTTTACTTTCAACATTTCAATTAAAAGTTTCTGATAGTAAATCTTAGTTCTGTGGTTCTCTCCAGGCACCCTAGCTTACTCAACCAATAAAAACTGGCCACCATGAAATAGCCAATAGTGCTTGAAGTGGGGTTAAACACCAAAAATCAACCAATCAATCAATAGTAAAACTAAGTAAATTTTCAGCAGCCTTTTCAAAGGAGAATATCCATTTACCACTCCAAAAGTTTTCAATCCAGAGATTTCAAAGTAACTAGCTGCAGTCATCCAGTGAAGATTATTTGCTAAACTAAATCTGTGTCATTTGGACTCTATTTGATAGTTGTCTCATTGACAATCATGCATACCACATCTTCTAATTTAATATAATACACATTTGGATAATTTTACAGATTTTCCAGATGCTGGGCAGATGCACGGTGAAACTTTGTAAATCCTGTTAATTGTTTAATCAAAATTTTACATTTTTCAACCATGAATTCTAATATGACGTTCTTCAAACACTTTGAGCATGTCGAGTACACGCAACTAAAATATGAATATATTGATATTTCAGCTGATAGTCAACGTCATGGATTGTTTGGGCTGTTCTAATCTTACTCCCATGTCAATTGCTTTTTATAAATGAGTTACTCTAGGTCAAACGGTGTAATTGACGTCACTGAATGATGACTTAATAATATAGACATTCTACTGGAAAATGCACGAATGTGAAACTGAAAGTCGTCAAAACATGAAAACATAAACAAACGATGATAAGAATTTGTTGAAAGCCTGTTTTCTTAAATAAAAGTAAGAAAATCAATTAACCTCATCCACACCTACATGACCTAGCTGTCTTAGTATGTTTAATATTGTAAATTAGTTTAAGCATGTCACTAATTCAGTTTTTTTCGTCTTTTATGTAATATTAAAAAAGATAGTGTTCAATTACAAGAACAGCAAAAACATTTCCTTCCACCTAGAGCACTTTGATCCAAAAGAATTGCTGTCTTTGTCCTATTAGAATAGAAATAATTCATGGGGGCTTGAAATTTGTTGTTCAACCTGTTAGTCAAATGGGTTTTGTTAAAATATACTTTTTCACTTTTTTGGTCTTTTGGAAAATGTTGTTTGTGCTGTATTTAGACCTCGGTTTTTTATCCAACGCAATCATAGGTTTGAACGTTGTTTTCAATTTAGACTTGTTTATATTTTTTCGTTTGGGCTTGTATTATATTTGCCTTCGGATTTATATGATACTTTCATCCTATTTTGACTCCTCAAAATTCAAGAGTCTATCCCAAATTGAGGTAAATTGTATGGCTTTCCAAATACCGTTTCGATTCCTAACATCACTGAAGAGTCATTAATTGTCGAAATCTGGATATGGTGTACAAAAACCTTTGCACCTTTTGTTTGCGGTATACATCTTTTCCCCAAGTTTATTGTTTTCTGTTTAGTATTAAATTTATAATTAAGATCAATTTATTACATTGGTGATCCGTTTATTTGGCAATCGCCAATGGCAGTCAGCAGGGTTTAAGAACATTTGTTGTTCGACCTGTAAGTCAAATGCGTTTTGATAAAATATACTTTTTCACTTTTTTGGTCTTTTGGAAAATGTTGTTTGTGCTGTATTTAGACCCCTCTAACAAGAAATTTGTTTTGCATGCACACGTATAAAAAATGCGGTTTTTATCCAATGCAATCATAGGTTTGAACGTTGTTTTCAATTTAGACTTGTTTATATTTTTTCGTTTGGGCTTGTATTATATTTGCCTTCAGGTTTATATGATCTGTTCATCCTATTTTGACTCCTCAAAATTCAAGAGTCTATCCCAAATTGAGGTAAATTGTATGGCTTTCCAAATACCATTTCGATTCCTAACATCACTGAAGAGACATTTAATTGTCGAAATCCGGATATGGTGTACAAAAACCTTTGCACCTTTTGTTTGCAGTATACCATCTTTTCCGCAAGTTTATTGTTTTCTGTTAATATTAAATTTATAATTAAGATCCATTTATTACATCGTTGATCCGTTTATTTGGCAATCGCAAATGGCAGTCAGCAGGGTTTAAGAAGTATTTAGACCCCTCTAACAAGAAATTTGTTTTGCATGCACACGTATAAAAATTGCTGTTTTTATCCCACGCAATCATAGGTTTGAACGTTGTTTTCAATTTAGACTTGTTTATATATATATATATATATATTTTCCAAAAGACCGCAAACATGAGGTGCAAAAATTTGTACACCATATCCGGATTTCGACAATTAATGTCTCTTCAGTGATGTTAGGGATCGAAACTGTATTTGGAAAGCCATACAATATACCTCAATTTGGGATAGACTCTTGAATTTTGAGGAGTCAAAATAGGATGAACGGATCATATAAACCCAAAGGTAAATATAATACAAGCCCAAACGAAAAAATATAAACAAGTCTAAATTGAAAACAACGTTCAAACCTTATAATGATTGCGTTGGATAAAAACTGCAATTTTTATATGTGTGCATGTAAAACAAATTTCTTGGTAGAAGGTCTAAATACAGCAAAAACAACATTTTCCAAAAAACCAAAAAAGTGAAAAGTATATTTTAACAAATCACATTTGACTAACAGGTCGAACAACAAATGTTCTTAAACCCTGATGACTGGCATTGACGATTGCCAAATAAATTGATCATGAGATGTAACATGGATCTTAATTATTAATTTAATACCAAACAGAAAACAATAAACTTGCGGAGAAGATGGTATACTGCAAACATGAGGTGCAAAAATTTGTACACCTTATCCGGATTTCGACAATTAATGTCTCTTCAGTGATGTTAGGGATCGAAACGGTATTTGGAAGGCCATATAATTTACCTCAATTTTGGATAGACTCTTGAATTTTAAAGAGTCGAAATAGGATGAACGGATCATATAAACCCAAAGGAAAATATAATACAAGCCCAAACGAAAAAATATAAACAAGTCTAAATTGAAAACAACGTTCAAACCTATGATTGCGTTGGATAAAAACCGCAATTATTATACGTGTGCATGTAAAACAAATTTCTTGGTAGAGGGGTCTAAATACAGCACAAACAACATTTTCCAAGTGCGATTTGTTAAAATATTCTTTTCACTTTTTTGGTCTTTTGGAAAATGTTGTTTGTGCTGTATTTAGACCCCTCTACCAAAAAAATTTGTTTTACATGCACATGTATAAAAATTGCGGTTTTTATCCAAGCAATCATAGGTTTGAACGTTGGGTTGGATATGCAAAACGAATTTCTCGGTAGAGGGGTCTAAATACACATGATACAGCACAAACAACATTTTCAAAAAGACCAAAAAAGTGAAAAAGTATATTTAAACAAAACGCATTTGACTAACAGATCGAACAACAGATGTTCTTAAACCCTGCTGACTGCCATTGGCGATTGCCAAATAAACGGATCACAAGATGTAACAAAAGAAATCTTTATTATCAATTTAATACCAAAAAGAAAACAATAAAGTTGCGGAAAAGATGGTATACCGCAAATATGAGGTGCAAAGGTTTTTGTACACCATATCCGGATTTCGACAATTAATGTCTCTTCAGTGATGTTAGGAATCGAAACGGTATTTGGAAGGCCATATAATTTACCTCAATTTAGGATAGACTCTTGAATTTTGAAGATCTATTTGTACATTACTTTGTGTACAGATTTGGATAGATTGTGGCAGATTTGGATGATGTTGAAACATAACCAATCTACAGAAGGATTATGTCATGGTTGGGTTCCCAATTTTTAATGACTTTGCTTTAGGCATATATATATATATATATAAACAAGTCTAAATTGAAAACAACGTTCAAACCTATGATTGAGTTGGATAAAAACCGCAATTTTTATACGTGTGCATGCAAAACAAATTTCTTGTTAGAGGGGTCTAAATACAGCACAAACAACATTTTCCAAAAAGTGAAAAAGTATATTTAAACAAAACGCATTTGACTAACAGGTCGAACAACAAATGTTCTTAAACCCTGCCGACTGCCATTGGCGATTGCCAAATAAACGGATCAATGATGTAATAAATGGATCTTAATTATAAATTTAATACTAAACAGAAAACAATAAACTTGCGGAAAAGATGGTATACCACAAACAAAAGGTGCAAAGGTTTTTGTACACCATATCCGGATTTCGACAATTAATGTCTCTTCAGTGATGTTAGGAATCGAAACGGTATTTGGAAAGCCATACAATTTACCTCAATTTAGGATAGACTCTTGAATTTTGAGGAGTCAAAATAGGATGAACAGATCATATAAACCCGAAGGCAAATATAATACAAGCCCAAACGAAAAAATATAAATAAGTCTAAATTGAAAACAACATTCAAACCTATGATTGCGTTGGATAAAAACCGCAATTTTTATACGTGTGCATGCAAAACAAATTTCTTGTTAGAGGGGTCTAAATACAGCACAAACAACATTTTCCAAAAGTCCCAAAAAGTGAAAAAGTATATTTTAACAAAACGCATTTGACTAACAGGTCGAACAGCAAATGTTCTTAAACCCTGCTGACTGCCATTGGCGATTGCCAAAATATATATCTACTGGCCTTTTGGCTAATTTAAGTAATTAGAAGAAATCATGCAGTAGATTTCACCTTCATAACAAATACATGAAATAAAGAGATGTCACTGAGAAGGCCTTATTTTAGTTCTTTAAAGAACAAATGATAGATGTACTTAAAAGGCCTTATCATTAGGTAACACAAGTTTATCACTTCATAATTCTTATATGATTTGCATATCTACAAATATTTGAATTGGATTGGTCCGTTA